TCCAAAGTCTAAAATTTAAAGTCTAAAATTTTTGGATCCATTTTTGCATCTAACAAAATATTGACTACTTTTAAATCACAATAAACAATTCGATAATAAGAATCTTCACGCAAGTAAAGAATCTATTTAACTAATGACCTATTGGTTTGAGTGGGAGGAACTTGATTTCCTTTAAACAAAATTTCAAGTTCGAGTCTTATGAATGTAGAAACAGGCGTTGAGAGAGTTTCTCCCTTATGGATCTGACACGATTTAATTCCAAATTAATCGGGACACAATGTGATTACCAAATGTTGGGAAGTTAATATCCAAAAAAAAAAAAAAATCCATTTAACAATTCCCCCTATGATTTTGTGTCTAGTGCCCCAATCTAGTTGTAAATGCTTGATTGGAACAGCAAATTCACAAAAATAATAAGTTTAAATGCATCAAAAAATACTGCTTGCAAACAAAATGTTCAAACATTTTCTGCCCTGTCATCCATGCACATAAACCCAAGGGAATTTACTTCTTAAACTGAATAGGAGTTGCAACCGTACAGAATATGAAGTGGCCGAGGTTTGGGTTAGGAAAACTCATATATCCGAAGCCTTTCATTTCCTTCCAAGCAAAAACCCAGCAACCTACTAATAATTTTTTTTATTATTATTATTCATTATGTGGGGATAGGGAAAAGGAACAATAGAACAAATTGACATTAAAAATGTCAAAATATTTAATAATAATTATATAATGAATTTGATAAAATTAAAATCCACATTATATCTCATACATTTAATAATTATGATTGAATATCCTAACATAGAGAAAAAAAAATCAAGACATTGTGATTTTTCATTTTCTCATAGAGATATAAACAAAATTAAGTCATTTTCACCCATCAATTGTAATTACCTTATAAACAGCACCAAATCCACCTTGTCCAAGCTTGCTCATGCTGGAGAAGTTATCGGTTGCCATTCTTAATTATTGTGTCGAGGTCAAATTGCAAGGCTTCACCACTATTATCCTTTTCTATGTTTTCATTAAAAAAAAATAAATAAAAAACGTGATTAGGTTGCCATTGTTTAGTTATTTTCCATGGGGCTAACTTCATAGCTAAATCATTAACCATCTTTTTTTCCATTTTTCCTTTTTTTCCTTTTGCTTAAACTTTCTTAGCCTAGGCTACAACGAGACAACAATGTATTCACCAAGAACAAAAGTTACGTTCAATTTCCTCTTTCAGGTTCCTTCTCTTCTTTGACTTCTTCATTCGGAAAATGATGCAGGTGCAGCCACAGATGTTAAGTATGAGAAATGCAACAACAGAAATGAATATAATAATGATAATCCGAGATGAATTCCCCTCTTTTCCTGCAAAATCCAGGCAGTCCTTTCATTAGTGCCAACATGTTTCAGAATTCTGGTGTTGACTCAGAGCCAACAAGAAGCAGAGATACAGTACCTGGTACAACTTTGTGGGCATCATCTGAGGGCGAAGGAGACTGTGGTGGCGCCGGCCGCGGCAATGGTGCTGGTGATGTTGACGGCCCATCAGGAGTAGGATCATAGAAAGAATACGTTTCAAACCTCAAATTACAGTTAGGTCCAACTGCTCTGCCTCCTAGCTCTCCATCACAACAAAGTTTAATTTTGCCAAAAGACAAGCAAGAGGTACACTGCTGCTGGGACAAATCAGGAGTACACTGCACAAGTGCGTGAATCGGCTCTGAATCTGGAACTGCTGCAGTCCCAGTTGCAAACTTGCGATGAGAATCACCCGATGCGGCTCTGCTTATGAGGGTATCCAACAGATTATTAAGGGTATCATTGAAAGCAGTAATATTCTTTGCCTTGTATCCATTCCACGAGTAGTGAAACTTAAAGGAGCTTCTTTCCAAGATGCCAAAGATAGAACGATCTGAGTATCGCAACATGCAATTGGCATACGATAGAATTGCTGCTTTCTGGTTGGGACAGAGACTTCTGAGCTCTGCGGCAGCATCGTTGATGCAGTTAATGCAATCACCAGGTATTACATCGCCCCTACAGAGAGCAATTGCGTTAACTTGGTCTGAGTTTTGGCCAAAAGTAACTTTGTAGAACCCATAATCATTTTCTATGTCAGAGGTGAAGGAAGAGAAGATATGATTGAGGCTTGCCTGGTAGGTGCTGTTACTGGTGAAGTTTCCCCTGTCCAACAAACATTTTTTGAGCTCCAGTTCTTGCTGGGAACTAGCGAGGGTAAGGAGGTGAATTAAAAACAGAGAAACAAAGAAAAACTTTCCTGAAAAGCCCATTATTAGAACCCCAGTTACAGAAACTAGAAAAGATCAGCCTTTAGAATTCTCAATTGGAAAAAGTTTCCCATTTTCCCGTTTCTCTTGTTGGGATGGTGCTCCATTTTTTTAAAATCTTTTTTAAGGGAAAAAATAGCATTGACGTGCTGCTCAACTGGCATTGATTTGGCCAAAGAAAAAATAAATAATACAGTAGCGTTGACTTGACGCCTGTTCTACAGTTTTACCAAATATGGCGTGGAGTGTTGGAGATGGGTCTCCCCTTGACGAGGTTGGGTTACTTCGTTCAAACTGCTGGCTGTTCCAGGACAAAGAAGACCTTATTACACGTTATAATGAACTAATGATATCATTAGTCATATAATTTAATAATAAAGTTATTTATATTTTTAATTATAAATATAAAATTTAATTTTTAAACTTTATGTAAAAAAAATGAATACAAAAAGAATCATGAAATGTATTTAAAAAAAAAAGTAAGAAAAGAAAAAAGAAAAACGAAAACTTAGTTTTATTTGAGATTTGAGTATAATATGATTCATGGATTTTTTTTCTTCTGGCCCAAACAAAGGTAATATTTCATTAGCATAAAGGATCGAGGGAGAATGAAGTCATCCTACAACGCAACGAGCAAAAAAAGAAAACACAATAACATGGGAAAGGATCATCAGCACAGAGGAAGGCATTCAAGTGGTTTGTTGCACAAAAGAAGATTGGACAATTCAAACTGATTTTGTTTGGAAATTCCCAGTGCTATGGTCAACAATGTTAACTACATTGACCCCTTAATTACAAATTCCCCATTCAGCATTCCACAAGCAAGTCAATATGCAATTACTGAGATCAAAATTCCTTTAATTTAGTACTCATACATGTATCTGATAAAATCATGGAAATCTAAACTAGCTATATAAGTTCTAAGCATTATTGAAGTATAAAGAAATAGAGGTGGAGTCAGACTAATTACCACATCAGTTAATGAAGCACGCCACCAAAGCAAAGTGATCCCAAGATTATATTATATGATACAGTCTACTGATTTATTGAGTAACATGTCTGCTTCGGTTGCTCATTTTGAGACTTGAATCACTTGGATTAAACTAACCTAAGATCAAGTGATGATGATGAACCTACCTCCTCATAGAAGAATTCTGCAAAACAGTCAAACTAGGTGTATATAGTAATACAAAGTAGTGAAGATAGTGTCGATGATTCATAGAAGAACCGTACAGCTTAATTCATAAACTCTATCGAGGATCAAAACAAGATATTGTAACCTCATTTAATGTGAAATCAGTGGATCTTCTTTGGATTGAGCAGATGCAGATGCAAATGATGAGTACTCTTGCTCAATGATAGAATCCATAAGAAATGCTGGTTTCGAAGGCACTTGAAGAGATACAGGGCTGCTACTAAGCATGAGAACAACAGAAGCCATGGTTGGCCTTCTAGCAACATTTTCTTGAACACATAGTGAGTCTAGTTGCATGCATCTCAACATTTCACTCCTCGAACCATCCCTCAAGATGGGATCAATAAAATTCAAAGCAGTCCCTTCCATCCAATTTTTCCAT